CGAGAAGCCCATGTGTCGCCAGATTGCCTATGGTTTCTGGCGGCCGATGGTTTCCCAGAATTCGCGGCGGCAGGCGGGGTTCAGAATTCGAATTATGGGCAACCGATAGGCCGCCAGAAACCCTAGGGAATCTGGCGACCTATGAGTTTCCCATAATTCGACCACGCCAGCGGCCCTGTGGAATTTCAGATAATCCCGGACGCTGCGCACTTATTTGATATTCGCATTCCAACTCGCTTGCGCAATCGGGGCGGCGAGTGGGGTCCAGCTTCCGGACTATGTGAAACCCATTTGTCGCCAGATTCCCTAGGGTTTCTGGCGGCCTATGGGTTTCCCATAATTTGGGGTCTGGACCCCGCTCGCCGCTGCGAAATATGGGACGCCCATAGGTCGCCAGATTCCTTGGGGAATCTGGCGGCCTGTGGGTTTCTCATCGTTCAGAGCCTGGGCCCCGCTCGGCGCCTCCATTGCGCGAGCGAATTCGAGTGCGAATCTCTCATAATTGCGCTGCGTGAATGGACCTGATCACACTCTGCGCGGCTTCTTGCAGCATGGAGATAATAAATGTACGATCCGTTGGGGCGATCTCGTATTGGATTGTTCCGACCGTGCCCCTCCCCTCCGCTCCATGGAAGCTGCTCCTGGCGCAAAACCCACACCATGTAGCATCCATGTATTGTACCGCGCTCACCTCCACATTCATTTCTTGTGGCTTAGCCGCTCATGAATTCGGGGCGGGAACGTCACGGGACGCACTCGCCATTGGGCCCATGGGTCCCTCCCTATCTCAGATTGGCACTATGCAGTTCTCTCTCTCTCTCTCTCTCTTCGGACATATGGGCAGATATCCATGCAGACATTATCGGCGTGGCGGGCACACGCCTACGGGCGCCACCAGGTTACCTTGTTCAAGAATGGCAGATCGAGAGAGGAGGCTATGGTTTGTTGGCAAGTTGGTCAGCGGGTCCTTTCTCGTACAGGTCGGCAGGTTTCCTCTTGATGACGACTCAGAGGCTGCGCAAGGGGACCCGTACGATATCGACCCCACCGACGTCGGCCAAAGGACGAGGGATTGCCGCTCGGATAGTTCGTGGATCTTTGGACCTGGCGATCACGGTTACCCACCTGCCCCCCACTCAAGGACGATTGCGCCTGTAACAGGCGGGCACTAGAAAAAAGGATATCGTGAATTGGTGCCATGGGGAATACAGTAGGTTAAATCAGCTCCTGCGCCATCGACACCGATCGTGATGGGCGTCTTGAATGTTGGCATTGGCTTGAAGAGCGGCGCGCTACTGTCTCCACCGAAGTTCGAGGTTGAGGATGGGGGATCGATCGACAAGATCGGCGGCCACAACCTTGACAACCACGCCATCATCGGAGACCACATCGTGGAGGAAATGGTTTTACCCTGTGAGATGATGACCCCCAACCCTGACCATGACTTCTGCGCCTAGAGCTGCTACGAGACCCAGCGGATCCACAGCTCACACGGCTCCCAGAGCTGCTACGATACCCAGTGGATCGACGACCACGGGCCCAAGAGCTGCTACGAGACCTAGTGGATCGACGGACCCCAGTGCCGCTACGAAACCTAGCGAGCCGACGGCACGGCGACCCCGAATACGTACCCCTTGGCGCGGCCCTCCTCCTTCGACTTCTGAGTTCTGGGAAGCTGGGAAGAGTGAGGCCCCCGATTCAGTGCGCGTAAATACGTATCTAGATAATATTGGGATCCGAGAAAATTATCCTGCCGAGGGACCCAACCATGTGCAATTGTGAGTGACGCAGTTGTGGGCATCGACCTCGGTGAACCTCTCTGGGGTCACGACGCGTGTGACGGGGTGTGCCAAAATTGGCGCGGGTATGCCATGCGGACGCTGCCACCAGAGCCGTCGGTGGAGCACCCTATGGGGCCGGGGAGCGTGCAAGGGGTGCGCCGAAATAGGGGGTGGAACTGCATGCGGACCCTGCCACTGGGGCCTTCGGTGGAGCTCCCTATAGGGCCATGAAGCGTGTGATGGGGGGCGCCGACATGGGGGGTGAAACCGCATGCGAACGCAGCACTGCGGCCTTCGGTGGAGCTCCCTATGGGGCCACGAAACGTGTGAGGGGTGTGCCGAAATGGGGGTGGAATCGCATGCGGGCGCTGCCGCTGGGGCCTTCGGTGGAGCACCCTATGGGGCCACGAAACGTTAGCTGCTCTCGCGAAGTCAGTACTGGAGGGAGGAAGCCCCAGCGTACGTCACAACGTCTTCACTCCCAGGGCAGGAAGCTCATGATTCAGACAACGATTCAGAGAGCGGACGAGGGTCCACGCGAAACGTTAGAGGGGTGCGCCAAAATTGAAGTGGAACTGCATGCGGTCCCTGCCACTGGGGCCTTCGGCGGAGCACCCTATACGGCCACGAAACGTGTGAGGGGTGCGCCGAAATATGGGTGGAATTGCATGCGGACCCTGCCACTGGGGCCTTCGGCGGAGCACCATATAGGGGCCACGAAACGTGTGAGGGGTGCGCCGAAATTGAAGTAGAACTGCATGCGGGCACTGCCACTGGGGCCTTGGGTGGAACACCCTATGGGGGCGCGAAACGTGTGAGGGGTGTGCCGAAATGAGGGTGGAACTGCATGCGGACCTTGCCACTGGGGCCTTCGGTGGGGCTCCCTATGGGGGCCACGAAACGTGTGAGGGGTGCGCCGCCATGGGTGTGGAACTGCATGCGGACCCTGCCGCTGGGGCCTTCGGTGGAGCTCCCTATGGGGCCACGAAACTTGTGAGGGGTGCGCCGAAATGGCTGTGGAACTGCATGCGGGCCCTGCCACTGGGGCCTTCGGCGGGGCACCCTCTAGGGGCCGCGAAACGTATGAGGGGTGCGCCGAAATGGGGGTGGAACTGCGTGCGGACCCTGCCACTGGGGCCCTCGGCGGGGCACCCTATAGGGGCCGCGAACCGTGTGAGGGGTGCGCCGAAATGGTTGTGGAACTGCATGCGGACCCTGCCACTGGGGCTTTCGGTGGTGGAGCTCCCTACGGGGGCCACGAAACGTGTGAGAGGTGCGCCGAAATATGGGTGGACTTGCATGCGGACCCTGCCACTGGGGCCTTCGGTGGGGCTCCCTATGGGGCCACGAAGCGTGTGAGAGGTGCGCCGAAATGGGGGTGGAACTGCATGCGGACCCTGCCACTGGGGTCTTCGGCTGAGCACCCCATGGGGCCACGAAACATGTGAGGGGTGCGCCGAAATGGGTGCGGAACTGCATGCGGACCCTGCCACTGGGGCCTTCGGCGGAACACCCTATAGGGGCCACGGAACGTGTGAGGGGTGCGCCGAAATGGGGGTGGAACTGCATGCGGACCCTGCCACTGGGGCCTTCGGTGGAGCACCCTATAGGGGCCACGAAACGTGTGAGGGGTGCGCCGAAATGGCTGTGGAACTGCATGCGGACCCTGCCACTGGGGCCTTCGGTGGAGCTCCCTGCGGAGGCCACGAAACGTGTGAGGGGTGCGCCGAAATGGGGGTGGAACTGCATGCGGACCCTGCCACTGGGGCCTTCGGTGGAGCTCCCTATGGGTCCACGAAGCGTGTGAGGGGTGCGCCGAAATGGGGTTGGAACTGCACGCGGACCCTGCCACTGGGGCCTTGGGTGGAGCTCCCTATGGGGCCACGAAACGTGTGAGAGGTGCGCCGAAATGGAGGTGGAACTGCATGCGGACCCTGCCACTGGGGCCTTCGGCGGAACACCCTATGGGGCCACGAAACGTGTGAGGGGTGCGCCGAAATGGAGGTGGAACTGCATGCGGACCCTGCCACTGGGGCCTTCGGCGGAGCACCCTATGGGGCCACGAAGCGCTGTATTCGGTGGGTGAAACGCAGGGAGGAGGGAGAGGAGCAGGAGGGAGGAAGGAGGAGGCGGGAACGCGGGGCACCGTCTTTTCAAAACGAGGACCCAACACCACAGGATGGTTGGGAAACAGGCACCCCAAATATTTAATCACTCTTCAGACCAGCCAGATCTTGACACTAGCTAGATTGGAACCCGAACAGGTTTTTTTAGTCCTCCCCCCCCTCGGGTCCTTGGGCTCTCGTGTCGTCGTCGTGGGTCGCCGCCGTCTGTCCGTCGTCCTCGCCTCGCCCCCGCTCGCACTTGCTGGGCCCCGTTTTGGGTGATGCGTTCCCGAGACGATCTCTTGGGCTCAGGACGCTAGCCTCCGGCGTAAGCCTCGGAGGCATGTTTGCCCTGAGCTTAATCCCACCAAATAGGGGTTTCTCCCGAGCCTGGTTTCAACCCCGTAGTTGACCAAGGCAAGAGGTCCCTGGGAGCTCCGATCCTGATCCTGATTCCCCCCCAAAAAAAACAGTTGTCTCGACCGTCAAATGCAATCCGAGACGTTCTGCGGGACTCCCAGTTGGTTCCAGATGCTTCCACCCCGCAGGGCCCCAGGACGGGTCCAAGACGGTCGAAGGGGCCTTCAACACGGCCCAAATAGGTTTCAAGAGGTTTTGAAGTTTCCCTGGGCCACTTAAAGGCATCTTGGGAGGACGCCCGTGGAGGGCCAAAACAGCACGCATCGTTAATGTGTGATTGTTTTCAAGTATTTGCGCGTTCTCGCCTGCGCGGGCTCCCGAATGCCTTGAACGCCCAAAGAGTGCTCCAGACGGCCCCCAAAAGAACCCGAACGGAGAGAGTCCCAGGACAGCCCCTTTTGTGGCCCTCGTTTGGGGCCCGCGTGGGGTAGGGTCCTTCGTAGGCCTCCCGAGGATCTCTGGGACATCGTGGGGGGTCCACTTGAGCCATCTCGCCGTCCCGTTGGTCTACGCCCGTATTTGTCTGATCCTTGGCATGGTTTTGGCCGCTATTTTTGCGTAACGAGTTTGCAGCATTGGTCGTATTGTGTCGTTTGTACCCTTCGCTGCCGCCGCCGACTTGCGCAGCGATGCTTCCATACACCTGCGATGCTCTCCTTTTTTTCTGCAGCATTCTATTCCCGTTCCCCCCCAGGATTGTGCGCATGAAGGGGCTCGGCCCGTTGTTCACGGCCCTCCTTGGGGTGGTGCTCAGAGAGTTTTGAGGTGGATGGCTAACGCGTCACATGAGGAGTAACGTATCCATGCAACCCGTTCCTGAATGCAGTCGGATGTGCGTAGCAGCGCCTTCTTTCCCATAGCTTGCCGTCCAGGTGTGTCGACAGACGTTTCCGCGGACAGGCGGTGAGTCTTCGATGTTGGACGTGCGGCTGGCGTTTAGGGATTGCGTTCCTGGCAGCAGGGTGAGGACCGTGCAAGTCGTCATAGGAAGTACGTCGTCCAGCGCACGTAATACATGAACTATTCAGGTTCCGTGCGTGCCCACCGATCCCCTAGGCGAGTTGCCGTGAGAAGGGGACATAACTGAGCAATCTTGCCACAAAGGGGGGGCCCAGCCAAACCGGAAACGAGGATCAGGCCGCAGAGTGCCCAGCAATGACGATTATGAGGCCTTGCGATTCTCTTGGGGCTCCTCTGGGACCTTTCCCTTGTCGGAGCCTCCGGTGGCCACTCCCGAGGCCGTCGGCCGAAAGAGCGGGGGGCCCGAGTTGGGCCTGCAGAGCGGGAGCCACGGCGGGCCCCTCTTCGGGGAGGCCAGTCCGCACGTGGGGCACCCTGGCATGTCCGGGGGCCGTCAGGGGGGGGAGAGGGGGGGGGGGCGGACAGGAGGAAGAGGAGGAGGAGGGGAGAGCGCCTCGAGCCGTTCGGTCAGGGGGATGGGGGGGCGAACCAAGACCTCCAGGCGTCGCGAACACAAAAACCCGACGGCCATTGTGTTCGCCGTTCGGTCGTCCGGCGGCTGTCTTCGGGCCCCGTCCATTCGATCATCCGCCCAGCCCGTCCCATCCAGTCTCCTGTCCTCCCATCCTTTCATGCGCTCGCTTCCATTTACGTTCGCCTCCGGCTCCTCCCTCCCTTTCCCCCCTCCTCCCACTCCCATCCCCCCCCTGTCCTCTTCCCTCCTCGTCCGCGCCACCCCTCATCCTTTCTTCCGCTCGTCCCCTCGTCTCCTTTGCTCCTCGTCCTGCTCCCCTCACTCGCTCCCCTCCCCTCTCCCCCTCTCCTCACCGTCTCATCCACCACCTCCTCCTCCCACTTTTCCTCCTCCTCCTTCTCGTGCTCAGTTCACCCTCCTCCTGCTCCTCCCCCTCTCTCTCCTCCTCGCCGACCCATCCATCCCTTCTCCCTGCTCCTGTTGTTCCTCCTCCTCTTACTTATTGTTGTTCCTCCTCCTCCTCCTCCTCCTTCCGTCCCTCGCGTCCCCTTTCCATCTCTTCATTCCTCCTCCTCCTCCTCCTCCTCCTCGTCATTATCATCATGACGCCGCTGCTGCAGCCGAAGCTCGTTGTCGCGGGTGATTTGTGGTATCATCATCTTGACCCTCGTCTTCGTTCACATTCTCACTCTGATTATCATCCCTCCTCCTCATCCCTCCTCCTACCTCCTCCCGTCATCTCCTCCTCCTCCTCCTGTCGTTGCCGTTGCTGGCAATGGTCTCGATGATGACGCTGCCCATCCCCCCCCCAGCGGCAGATGCCGCTGAGGTGGCTTGATTCAACTAAAACCTTTAGAATATCAAGTAGAAAACGACCAGCACACCCACCCAGGGGAGGGGTAACGAAGTCCCCCTGGACCTTGGGACGGAAGGAGGAAAGAGGAGGGGAAGGCCTCACGCAAATGGTAAAGAGGAGGAGGATGAGGAGGGGGGGAGGAGGCTGTCCAGCGGCGACGCGCAACGTGAGGTTGCGGATGGAGTGTGGCAGCTGGAATGTGGCCCTGGCCACATTCGCCAACAATGGGATGGCGCAAGGGCTCTCCGCGGCATGTAGGAATCCTCAAGGCCGCGACCTCTGGTCCAACCGAGGGAACTCTCGCCCACCGAGGCAGGCAAAGGGTTCCCTCGGAGGTCCACCAGGCGTGGGGAGGTTTGCGTCATCCTGCGGCGGCGACCACGGGAGGCTATGGCTGTCCCCCTATGGACCCACCGATGTTTTGTGTGAGCGTGAAGCGGCAGCAATTCTGAGAGAGAGAGGGAGGGTGAGCGAGAGAGGGAGAGAGTATGATTGTACGTTGGGGAGTTGAGAGCGGCTGGCTTGGTAAAAGCAAGCGGCTGTGCGTGTGCGACAGCGAGCGTTTGCGGAGCAAATGAACATACTCGGGCTGAGAGTTGTGGGTAGGGCAAGAGCCGCGGCCGTAATATGCGGGCCAGGATGTGAGCTGCGGCCGCCCTGGCCCTAGCCAGTGCCCTTGGCAGCAGGCATTACCGCTGGTCCGCCCCCCAAACTCCGTAAAGCCCCCCCCCCACCCGCCTCCCGTTTAAGGTTGACGTGAGCGGCGTAAAGGAGAGGGCGCATGTGGGAAGTTGTGACATCGGTCAGTAGACATGCGGCAGGAGAGGTCCGACAGATCAGACTGAGGCTGGTCGGCAGAAAGAAGAGGGAGATGAAAGAACGAATGTGCGGTGGTGCTGGAATGTGGCACTGCAACTGGTGACAACCACGTGCGTGGGATAACAAAAGGCGGTATGACAGCAGTGGCGGTGCAAACTGGTATTGAAACGCCTATACCCCCCGACAAACGTGACGGCAGGCGGGGCTTGCACAGTGGAAAGTGAGCTCTACCATGGCCAATGTGACAAGCAAGGGCGGCCAAGCAGCGGCGGGCAACAGAGGTGATAGTTGGATCGGTGAGATGTCAGAGAAGCGTCGGTGGTGCTGGGATACGGATCAGACAGGTAATAGGTTGGCTCAACCTGCGGCAGGCGGTTGCAAATCCTCCCTCCCTCCCTCGCTCCCTCTCTCCGACGCAGAGCCAGCCTGCGCCGCGCACCTATAGAGCGCGCGGACCGCGCCCTCGGCCGCCCCCGAGCAGGCTTGCAAGGCAAGCCTCGAGGCTGGGCAGTCCTAGGTCGCTGCAGGCGCCAGCCAGGCGAGCCTGCTGGTGGGCAGCCTGCGGTGAGCGAGGCCCTGGAGCCCGAGTCCAGCCCTTAAAGGCAGGCGGGCCTGGTCGCGCGCGTCGTCGAGGAGAGCCTGGTGCCCAGTGAGCGGCCGCAGGATCTCGTGCACGTGGCCGACAGCTGCATCACAGTAGCCTTGGCGCTACGCCTCATCCAGCCGGCGCGCCCGCGCCCGCGCGCCTGCGCGCGGAGGCCGTGGCCGCGGAGGCTGCTCCGAGGTAGACGTCGAGGCGCCCTCGCGCCGCCTGCGCGGCGGCCGCGGGCGAGGAGCTCGTCCGCGTGAGCTCGCCCGCCCGGCGTTGGCGCCTTGAGCAGTTGCGGCGGCGTCTCGCGCGTCGGACAGGGTGCTTCCCACGAGCGCGAACTCGGGCCCTTCCGTCCTGTCCAGCAGCCCCTGGAGGGGCAGGGCGCGCCAGTTCCAGACATTTTCAGGGGCATCTCCAGGGGGGGATAGGCTCAGGTTCGAGGTTCCTCGGGGGGGAGACTTTTTCGGAATCGAGGATCTACCTTATCGGACGTTTGCGTCAGTACTCGGCGATTTTTGTTGGCCTCGGGGCGTCTTTCAGCGGCTAACCCCGCCCAGGAACGTTTGAATTCGCTCTCGGGGGCCTCTCGCCGATCTATCGGCGATGCACCGCCGACTCCAGGTCGACATTTCCCCGCCCTGAGCCAATCCCCCCAAACGTTGCCTCTCACCTTCGTCAACTGTGCGCTCGAGAGGGGGCCCCGCGTCGCGAAGAGTGCTGGCACAGCGGCAAGGGCGGCTGCCAGCGCGGCCCTGCCCATGTCGTCGGGGTAATTATGCCAAAGCCCCGGCGCGCCCCTGCTCCCAGGCCCTCGTAAAGTGGCACCTTGACCACGGCGAATAATTCGAAGAAGAACAAGCTGCATGAACATTACTTTTCGGAGGTACGCGCGGATTTCTTGGGTCGGCACTGGGGCCCCCTTGGCGGCGTTTCCGGCGCCGCACGCCAGGGAGGAGGGGGGTGCCCAGCGCAGGTCCAGGAACTCCGCACGGACCTCCGAGAGTTTCTGTTTACGCCGCCGCTCGTTCCTCCAGGTGGGCAGCCCTGGTCCACCCGCGCTCCGCCCGGACCAGCGCCGCCCTGGCCCTCGGCAGGAGGGCTCCGGGCGCGATGGTCGCCAGCTGCGCGAGCCCGGGCAGTCGGCAGGAGGCCTCCCGCAGCAAAGCGTCCCGGCTGAGCTCGTTGAACGCGTCGGCCCGCCCTGCTTTGCTCCCTCCAGCCTCTGCCCCTCCTCGCCCCCCCTGCTCCCCTGTTTCAGAGGAGCAGGGGAACAGGGTGATGATGATGATGAGGAGGAGGAGGAGGAGGAGGAGGATGAGGATGATGAGGATGATGAGGATGATGAGGATGATGATGATGCTGATGATGATGATGAGGATGATGAGGATGGTGAGGATGATGATGATGATGATGAGGATGAGGATGAGGATGAGGATGAGGATGAGGATGAGGATGAGGATGAGGATGAGGATGATGATGATGATGATGCTGCTGCTGCTGCTGCTGCTGATGATGATGATGATGATGATGATGATGATGATGATGATGATGATGATGATGATGATGATGATGATGATGATGATGATGATGATGATGATGCGTTCCAGGCGCTACAATATTCCCAGTTCCGAGGCCCCCTGATGCTCCACACGGGCTGCAGCAGCGAGGGCCGATGGATATTCTGGAATTGCTGGAGCTTATCCTGGACCAGCCGCATCGTGAAGACATTCAAATTCCTGTTTTGCACTGCCCCCCTCTCCACTTCTCGGAGGAGGGCCAGTTGAGACAACGGAAGCTCTCCCGCGCCCGCCCCAAATCTGGTCAAAATCGGTCCACCAGATCCCTCCGTGGGTCAATCCTGACCCGCTGGTCGACACGGGTTCAGCCGTGGCGACGAGAAGCCTCCAGGAGTCGCGCGAAGGACGAAAACGTCAGGTCGAAGGACGGCCGCCATTGTCTCGATTGGCCTGCCTTCTATGTTCTCCCCCTCTCGTCGCCGACGTCCTCGCTGTCGGCGTCGTCGGTGTCCTCGTCGACGGCGTCATCGCCGGCGTCGCCGTCCTCGTTGTCGGCCGCCGCCGAAGTTTCAGCCCAGGACTTCACCTGGGGTGCCGGCGGCTCCACCTCGGAGCTCACGCTGCAGCTGACCAGCGCCGCCAAGAACGAGCGCCCGCGCCCAGTGGCCCTCCTACTGCCATTCTCTTCTCTTTTTTCCTCCTCCTCCTCCTCCTCCTCCTCCTTCTCCTCCTCCTCCTCTCCCCGGGGCAGGGGGGACAGGGGCAGCGTTAGAAGGGGTGAGCTCAGGTTCGAGGTTCCTTGGAGGGGACGACTTCCTCAGACTTGAGGTTCGAGGTTTTCGGACATTGTCGTTGACACTCGGCGGTCTTCCAGCCTCGGGGTGTCTGCCAGCGACCGCGCCTCGCCGAGGACGCTCCCAGGGTGCCCGGATCGTCCCGAACGGCCGCGGGATGTTCGAGTTATGGTCCGAGAACCACCAGGGGCAACATGATGGGAGAAAGGAGGGGTGGTTGGATCGACCACAAGCCCATTCCCAGCCGATAGGGCCCTAACCCCGCCCAGGAACGTGCGGATTCGCTCTCGGGGGCCCATCGCCGATCTATCGGCGATGCGTCGCTGATGTCGGCTCGATGTATCGCCGCCTGAGCCGGTCCCCCATTTCGTGTTCCCTTTCAGGCCCAGTCTCTCGAGATAACAGTTGAGACGGAGGTGTTTCGTCACTCTCGGCGTCTGGGGGGGCCGCTTCTAGGCCCCAGGGCCATAAGAGAACGACTCAGGGCGAAAACCAGCGGGTAGGATGCAGAACTTCAGAGGACCTACGACAGTGTATGCGGCTTCTCTCCTCTACTCCCTGTGCGCTGTCATCTGTTTGCTTCAATCTCGCCGTCTGGGGTGGGGGGAGAGGGGGGGCGTCATAGCGCTGCGGGGCCATCAGCAACTGTCTGGGGTGAAGACTTTGCCCAGGAGAAGGGTCGAGAAATCTTGAGGACCACGTCACGGAAGTGGTAACTTCGATTGTTTGGGTTCATTTTGCCAGGAGGTGTTCAGAGCAATTCGTCAAGTTCCGAAAGCGTTTTTTGGTTGTCAATGGATTAATATTCGCTTTCCCGATCTCGCGTGTTCTTGCTTCTCCTGTTCCTCATCCCTGTCTTCTCTGTCTTCCCTGTCTTCTTCATGATGAGCCTCGCCGACGTCCTCCCCCTCGATCAAAGAATCCTCCAGGGCATTCCTTCGGAGATATCTCAGGGCATGGCAGAAGTCTTGGTTCCCCCAGCCTTGCTCACAATGCCTCCCTGGAACAGTCGCGCGGCCAGCGTGCGCGAGAGCGCCTGGGACCGGGGGTGGGACGGCCCGAAAGTCGTGGATCCAGGGCCCCTTGGACGGGACGATCGAAATGGGTACAGAGAATATCGACGAAGATCGACAGCATTTTTGGTTCATTCTGAACAGGACTCGCTGTCGGTGTCGACGCGGGCGTGTTCCATTTAAGACAGCCGCCTGCCCAACAGCGACAGCTGTCCGTTCTGGACAGCAGTTGCTGCGGGACATCGTCCCCCTTTCTTCCGTACCTGTTCCGGGCGTCCGATTTGACATGGATTACCAGCCCGAATAGTGAATGAGGATTTGGGGGGCGCTCCGCTCGCTGCCTCGTATCACGGTGGCGGAGATATTCTCACTTCAATTTGCGCCAGTGATGGGCATAGTTGACGGTATTGCTTGTAGTTTTCATTGCAGGTGCCCTTGAGTTTCAAAGTTTGTTCCGAGTCTGTTCAAGTACGTTTCTGCGTCCACTTGCAAATTTGTTATTATTCATGGCCTTACCTCTCATTCGACTTCTGCTTAATATTCCACGTCCACTTACTTGACGGCCACCACCGGCT